TACAACGTCGTTGCCAAGCGACGAAAACCCAACCCCGATGGCAAACACCGGGAGGTCCAATGATGGGAGAAAAAAAAAACAACAACGTTGTAATATCCCCCCAATGCGTTTCTCATATGTTTTTTTTTTTGAGTGCCCGACAGCGCTCTTTGGAGGGTGCTGATGGGGTCGTTCTTCTCAATTCAGCCGTAGGTGGTCCGCAACTGCTGCGGCCGCCACTAATCAGCGACAACGACGCCCAGCCTTGGGGCACACGCGGAATTTGTTGCCCAGAAGCGCGCGCAGCAACGTTTCAACAGAACCTCATTCGAATGAGAGAGCGTTGATACCCGAGGCCCCGCATCCTTGCACGCCCTGCACCGCATTGACCAAGCGCTGACTCTACCCATGATCTCCACCCCTCCCCTTGTGCACGAACACCTCTGTAGACCAAGCCCGTGTTACTAGTTGCACACCCGACACAGCCCAAACCAAAGGGCTGACCCTAAACATCACCCCCCACCCCATCCCCCCGCTCTTTCGCGTCGTCCAGCCCGTGGTACTACGTGATGGTGTGCTCGCGCCAGATGGCGTTGTGGGCGGCGTCGGTGGCGTGCGTGGTGTGGTCGGACCGGTGGGACGTGAACATGCTGGGTGCCTTCCTCATGGCGGTGTTTTGGCAGCAGTGCGGGTGGCTGGCTCACGACTTCCTCCACCACCAGGTGTGCGCGCAACGGAAGGCGTTGGAAGTGGCTTCGCGTGTCTTGAATCGTTCTGCGATCGTTAGCACCGTGTTTTCCGCATGGTTTCTCCAGCAGGCGGTGTTTTCGTCGGACCTGCGATCGTTAGTGTAGCGTATTCCGCACGGTTTTTCTGTAATCGGCTGGTAGCATTGTTCCGAGTCCCGGCAGAGTGAGTTCTTTTCTCACGAAAGGTCTAGGATGAAAGCGACGCGCTGCAAAGCTCGTTTGTTAGTAAACCATAATCGACTTAAGTCGCGAGGGAAGGGATTGCTGTACCCTTCTCGCGATAAAAATACCTCAGGCAGGAACCGCAGGAGGGGGTCCAGCCCCCCCCTCCTATGTGACCCCGGTTGGGTCGTCCAGCTGGTAGAAGTGGAGGATAGGGGCCAGAGGGGCAGACGACAGAGTCCAATGATGAGAGAAAAAAAAAAAATGTGTCGGAAGGGGAAGGTGGTGGACCAATCACACTATAGGCAGCGTGTAGTGTCGGGTGAACATGACCCCTCTCGCGTTCTTTGGTCCTCACACATGAGATACCCCGAATCTTGACGTGTTCTAGGCAGTCAGCCCGGCACGAGCGTAGTGCCCGATCGCCCATTGCTACCTTACTCAACTCAACGTTGAAGTAGTTGCGGTCCCACAACAGTGCCGTTGAACAGTACAACTGCCCGGTATCGTTGAAGTGTTGAAATCGCACGACACGGATGGTATATTCCAGTTGTTGTATCATTCTTTGAACAGTGCAGGGTGCCCCCTATTGCGCCGGTGAATCTGGCGGGCACATTCCGGCACTCGTCAGGCACCTTCACCGCTTTTCACGCGTGCACACCACATCACCTGCGCCGGTGTATGGATCCCCATATCCATCTTGCAACTCCAAGCTGCGACTGTATGCCGCGAAGCACACACGCCACACTACCCGTACGGGTGTTCATGAGCCGCGTTTGTGGATCCCCTTCCTCTATTGTTCTTTTCCCCCCTTTTTCTATCTCCGAATTGCCGTGCATCTAACGCGAAACCGACCCGCCACGCCACCCGTGCTGCTGCAGGTGTTCAAGAACCGCGCTTACGGCGACCTCGCCGGAGTGTTCTGGGGCAACCTGATGCAGGGCTTCAGCGTGGGGTGGTGGAAGAACAAACACAACACGCACCACGCCGTGCCTAACCTGCACGAATCGAGCGCGGATGCCCACGACGGTGAGTGTGCGGCGCCTGGCTTTTTTTGGGGGGGAGGGGGGGGGCTCGTGCGTGTGCGGTGTGCGGTGCCTGGCTTTTCGAGGGGGAGGGGGCGTACTCTTATGTTTTGCATGCCTTAGCGGTTAGATCGTTGACCACGCGTCCTCGAGAGGACGGAGCATTGATCCCACAGGACCGATCACCGATGGCCAATCGTTCCTTTCTACTTTGCCAAAGGTGGCTCAAAAATGTCTTCCCCAGTCTGTCTATCTTAACGATATCCCTTCCCGCCTTTTCAACCCACCTCCTATGCCCCAGTACAGCTACCGTCCTTTCCTCTCTATTCCATGCCTCAAACATCTCCCTGTACGTCCTATCTATTTTTCCCAGCTCAGTCACGTACACTTCCCTCTCCTCTTGTACAACGGACATTCCGCGACTGCATGAACACGGTCTTCGCATTCGAAGCCGCAACTACATTTGAACTCGTCGTCCTCGTCGTCTACCGTCCTATGTCTTCGTGGACGTTCTCCAAGGCCTATGTCCCCGGTCCTGAATTTGACCTTAAGCTTTGTTCCTGCATCCATTGGTCCATGTAGGTAGTCCTTGAACCCTATTCCTTCCTTCAACATTCCGTACACTTCTAGACCCTCCTTATCCTTGGATTCTTTCCTCAGATTCTGTTCTTCTCTCTCGGCACAAGCAACAGATATCTTCTCCTTGAACCCCTGTAGACCCTCCGTTTCCAGCGTTTCATCTTCGTCGATGTCGAGCCCCTTCCATACGTCCTCTACAACCTTGACCCATTCCGTGGGTTGTCTACCCCTCTTTTTGTTTGCCCACTTCGCCTCCCATACAATTCTCGGCAACCTCTCCTCTCCCATCCCGCACATGCGATACTGCCATGTCAGCTTCCTCGCGTCTCTTCCCCACCGTAGGGATTGGATCCCCAAGTCTGCCCTGACGGCTGCATTACTTGTGCGCTTGGAGCATCCAAGGATGATTATCGCTGCTTTANACCATGACGGCACTCTTCTTAACGTTGGCAGACAATCTCCACTTATCAGTACACTTCTTCACCGCGTCAAATTGCAGTTGCAGTCCCTCAGGGGTGTCCGACATGCCGACAAAATCATCCGCAAACAGCATTCCTCAGACCGAAGTTTCCGTGTCCCCTACTTGTACTCCCTTCTGGACTGCTTCTACGACTTCCAACAGATCGTTGATGAACACCTGGAGCAATGTTGGGGACAGCGTGCAAGCTTGTGGGACCCCGTGCTCAATGTCGAAGAATTTAGATAGGTCTCCGTCTAGCATGGCCGCGCTTTTCGTACACTCTGTCATCTCCTTCAGCACTATCCACATTTTCCCTTTTGATCCCGTGCTTGGACAGTTGTTTCCACAGCCCATTTCTCCACACGGTGTCGTATGCCTTTTTCATGTCCAGGAAGAAGCAGCACATCGGCTTTCCCGCCCTCCTTCTTCTTGGATGGTCCTCCCTACCGTGAACGCGTGCTCTACGCACCCCCTCTTCTTTCGGAAACCTGCCTGGCCCTCACTAATGCTATGTTACTTCTCCAATACTTCCACTATCCTATCGTTCAGCAGCTCNCATTTCTCCACACGGTGTCGTATGCCTTTTTCATGTCCAGGAAGAAGCAGCACATCGGCTTTCCCGCCCTCCTTCTTCTTGGATGGTCCTCCCTACCGTGAACGCGTGCTCTACGCACCCCCTCTTCTTTCGGAAACCTGCCTGGCCCTCACTAATGCTATGTTACTTCTCCAATACTTCCACTATCCTATCGTTCAGCAGCTCACAGAACACTTTACCTACTGTGTTCAACAGTGTGATCCCCCTGTAGTTTCCTGGGTCAGTCTTGTCTCCTTTCTTGAACAAGTTCACAACCACTCCTTCCCTCCATCTACTTGGCGTATACTCGTTTTTCCACACCCAATTGTACTGCAGTACCATCAGCTGGATCATCCCCTTCCCCCCAAACTTCATGAACCCGTTGACTATCCCATCCGCTCCTGCTGCTTTGTGGCACTTCAGCTTGTTCACACACGCCTCAACCTCGTCCTCAGTGAACTGCTTTTCTAGTTCTACGTTCCCAACGTCTGTCTTTGATGTTTCTTCTTCTTTCTGGGCCCAGATCCATCCACCTCTTAACTCGCGTATGTGGGCGGAGATGGTGCTTCTTGAGAAAATAACGTTTCTTACTTCCGCGGAGGAGGTGGCGATGGTGCTGTGTGACGAAAATATCGTTCGCCTCCACCAGGCAAAGGCCGTTTCGTGTTGTGTCTGTCTTATCGCATACGCCACCTGTCACTCCGTCGTCTGTCTGCCTAACCGCAGGCGACCCTGACATGGACACGATGCCCGTGCTGGCGTGGTCGATCAAGATGGCCGAGGCGGCTAAGGACACAACGGTCTCCCGGTTCCTCATTGGGCACCAGGTCAGTCACAGCCTTCATGTCTTCTACGGGGCTGTTCGTGTCACCCCCCCATCCCCCCCGCGCCCTCTTCGAGTCACATCCGTGCGTGTCGCCTCTCTAACTCTCCATCTACTCTTGTGAGTACTGCCGTATAGTGCGAGATGATCGCGGTTTGTGGGGGGGGATATGAGCGAAACCACTGGTTGATAATCGTTATTATGTGTCCCTTTCGTACCCGTCTTTTCGTTGTCACTCGGGCTTTTTCTGCGCTGGAAGTCGCGTTCCATGAGCGTTACCACACCGATTCGTGTTTCCTTGTTCCGGCTCAAGCGTGTATTTTCAAGAAACCACGGCGCGTATGCGGTTCCTACACATGGAAATTACGTTCCGACTTCCCCCCGAAATTTTCCGGACTGCTGTGCCCCCCCCCCCCGTCCAATCGCTGCAGGCGTTCCTGTACTTCCCGATCCTTCTGATCGCTCGCGTTAGCTGGGTGATGCAGTCGTTCTCGTTTGTGTTCAACGGCCTTCCCGGCGCCAAGCTGTGGACGACCAAGGGCGCCGACACCTTCGTCCCGAAGTCGCTCGCCAGCAAGCTCGAGGTGTGTGTGCTCACGTACTGCTGTAGGCTCGCTAACAACAACGCTCGCAGTAATATTATCACCCATCCCGTTGAATCCCCTGTCCCGTCCCGTCAATTTCTGCGACTGTCCCGTCAAGTCCCCCGATCCCTCCCGTCAAGTACCCTCACCCGTCGCGTCCAGGTCCTTCATCTGACGCGTCAAGTCCCCCGACCCGTTCCGTTCTTGCATGAATGCTCTTGCCTGTGTAAAGTCAGCCCGCACGCTCGTACCCTACATGACGAACACTCTCCCTCCCCCCCTACCCCCGTTCTTCCACTCCCCAGAGCCCCGCTCTGCTCGGGCACATCTTGTGGATGTCGTACCTCGCGTTCAACCTGGGTTTCGTGAAGTCGCTGGCGTTTTTCGCCGTGGCCCAGTGCGGCTGCGGCCTCTTCCTCGCCCTCGTGTTCGGCCTCGGGCACAACGGCATGGCCACGTACGACGCTGACGCGCGACCGGACTTCTGGAAGCTTCAGGTGCGTCTGGCTGCCGCCGCTGGCAGTGCGGCTGCGTAAGTGTTTTTTTTGCTCGTCCCACCTATTTTGGTGCCAATTCTACGCACCTTCCAGCGTATGTGTTCCACGTATCAGCCCGCTTCATAAGCAGTTCCGTTTTTTCGGTTTGTTGGCAACAGACACATGCGTGTGTGTCCTCACGCTTTGGATTTTTTTTTTTAACGTGGATGGGCATCATCGGCAAATACCTATATCTAACAGTCTGCCGAAAAACAGCAACATCGAGTGAAGGGTCCCTTCCGTATTCGTACTTCTTTCTTAACTCTCGTTCCAAATCTGTGCGGCGGCAGGTGACCACCACCCGCAACGTGACGAGCACGCCGTTCGTGGACTGGTTCTGCGGTGGTCTCCAGTACCAGGTGGACCACCACCTCTTCCCGCAGATCCCGCGGCACAACCTCCGCAAGGTGGGAGGAGGAGACGCATGCCGGCAGATTTGAGGTCCGAGATGAGACCGAGCATGTCTCGTCACGCGGGTTGTTGTTGTTCGCTGTCGTCCTCGTTGTTGTGCGTGAAGTGGATGGCAGCAGTCACGTCACAAGGGCTGTTTTGGCGGTCGTCGTTGACATGGATGGACAAGGGGTCAAGGTTGGAGAACAACATGTCACGTCATATGCGCGGTTGTCGTTGTCTATAGAAGCCGAAATCAAACCATCAGACGAGTTAGCGCTGACGAGTCTAATGGTTTGAGTTCGGCTTCCATGTGTGGTTAGCTTGGATGTGTGGAGCGGAGGTCGGAGACCAACGTGTCACGCCACATGGGTGGCTGTTGTTGTTGATACCATGGATGGGAAGAGATGAGGTGTGAGACCAAACACGTCATGTCAGTTGGGCCGTTGATGTTGTCGTTGTCGTCGTCGTTTTAGGTGTATCAAAATCAACATGCCTGTTTCGTACACACATCGCACAGACCCGTTTTTTTTTCTTCTTTTGCGTGCAGACATATCGGTGTGTGTTTTGTGTGTCGCAGACCGTAGACGTTCTTCCTGTCTGTCCCCTTCAAAAGTTGTCAACGATAAGACGTGCTTTTTTTCACACTCGTGACATCTGTGTTTGCTTCCTTTCGGATGATTCGTTCAAGAATCGGGGCGTTGACGGGCCCTTTGTTCCTCCTCGTCCCGACCACGTCCGTAACATGAGAGCGTCCCGAATAAAGTGCTTGTTTTCGCAGTTGTGACTACCTCGTTTGCTTTTGGATGGGTTTGTGGGGGCATCCAGGTTCCTTTGTTGCTCCTCGCCCCGCCGCCGTCCATGTCATGAGTACCCCTCCCCTCCCCATCCATGGTCTGTGCCGCAAATAATGTCCAGGTGCACACCCTGGTAGAATCGTTCTGCAAGCAGCACGACGTGCACTACCACGAAGCGAGCATGTGGGAAGGAACGAAGGAGGTTCTTTCTCATCTGTCGGACGTTTCGGCAGAGTTCATCGCGGAATTCCCCGCGATGTAAAAAACGCCTCTTTCTCTCTCTCGTCTCGGGGAAGCAAAGCAGCAGCAGCAGCAGCAGCAGCAGCAGCAGCAGCAGCAGCAGCGTTGTTTTTTGGTTTTTGATTTTTGCGATATGACAGTGGTTTGCGGCGCACAACAGAACGCCCCTCCTCCGCTTCTGCCGAAAGTCCCGATGACGATATCTATACCTACGTCGCAGTTCAAGGCCATCTACATTAACGCACTCGCTTTTTTTTACGCCATCAAGGAGGAAGGAGGAACTCACTGTGTGTGTGTGTGAGGGCTCATGTTACATAGCAACTGTTGTGGAGGGGGAAGTGAGCGTCGGCGTTAGGCCGGGTAGTGGAGGGTCGTAGTCTTGGAGGCCAAGTCACGACCGATGTTGCGTGTTCCTCTTTGTGTGGACGTTGGTTGGAGGGCCAAGCTTTTAAACCTTGATGTGGTGGGACAGGTCGGTTTGACGTGACGGCGCTTTTGAGCGGAGAGAATGGGGTTTGGGGGGCGACGACGACAGGAGTGGCCGTGAGGATGATGTCACGCACAGCCCGCTCCCGAAGACGATTAGGTTCAGTAAGCTGTACGGCTGTGTACGAAGACAAACCGTCGCGTGTTGATTCGTTATTACAAGCTGTCCTTGTGCTTGTTCCATGGCCGGTTTCACTGCCTTGAGGGGTTCGAGACGGTGTGGAGTATGCGGGGGGTGGGGATGTTGTACGTCCGCCCCCCCCCTAGGGATGGCCTGATTTCCACCGTGTTACGAGAAGGCTTTTCTTGTTTTGTCTTGTGTGGGGAGCTGGTTTTCTATCGCGCATACCGCACCGTGTAAACCTGTTTTGACTATGACTTAGTCGTCATCATGTGTACCGCGTCTTGTTTTTTGTGTACATGCGGGAGGCGGTTGACGTGGCGGGGTATCTCCGCGTTGTGTGAGAACAGAACTAATTGACGTGCTGTTCGAAGTGCCGGGGAACGTTTCTATGTCTTTTAATTTGTCACAAAAGAGAAACATGAGCAGTGCGAGTGGAATTTGGGGGGTTGGGGGGTCCGTGTTTGCATGTTGTAGTCAGAAAATCGAAAAACTTGTGGTACACGGCGTTGACGCTGTGCTGCAGCTCTTATTCCGCTCTAAACGCTCGGAGGTTTTTGTCTCGAAAAAAAATCGATAAGAGAGGGAAAGGGAAAACGGTGGCGGCCTATCTCAATTCACTTAAATCGGGAGCGTCTATGTAGGATCTTATTGTCTATGTAGGATCTTATTGGAGAGAAGCCACGAGCTTACGACGATGGCACCGGTGGACGTGGTGATAGCGCCTGCATGTCTTACACGCACAACCATCGACCTGGCCATACTCTCCGGGGCATGTTCGTCCCGGCATCTCATGAATTTGCTCATCCCTTCTCATGGCTTATTAATGTGACTGTCTTGTCACACAACAACTGTCTTGTCACACAACAACACAAGATCGGTCTGGCCTTATTTCCCGCCACCCTCTGTTGCCCACCAATCACGGCCAAGACACCAACTGACTGTCCGTGTGGTCACCTCAAGCTATTCGTAGGCCAGAAGCTATCATGAGTAGGTCCTCCAGATGCGCCACCGGAAGCAACCATGGGCGGGTGCTGCAAAATGCACCGGAGACAAGACAGTATAAGTTGCGCCGCCGCGTAGCCTGTATCGCTTCTAGGGAGAAATACGTGGGCGCGTGCGGCAGATCAAGGACATGTACTGACTAATTCATTCCCACATATGCCTCCCTTGGCCTGAGACGTGGCCTCGGAAGAGCCCATATCTACAATAATTGCAACAGCGGACAGAAGTAAAACAGTGCTTGATGCCTCGACACGTCGTGTTCTTGGTCGTATACTTCGACCAATGCAGCAGTCACCCGCCTTCCGAATGAATGATTGTCAAGATTTTGGACCAATCAGACGGTCGAATGAACGATTTTCATGCTTGTTGTTTTTGGACCAATCAGACGGCCGAATGAATGATTTTCATGATTTTGGACCAATCAGACCCAGTGCCACCGGTCTTGACCAATAGCGACAGAGCAAGTACACCTGGGATGGGAGAGATTCGGTTGGTATTTATTGGTCATTCTCTCGTGTTTCCGTCAGACTCAGCAGGTTGGATTCCGAGTNGGGGGGGGGGGGGGGGGGGGGGGGGGGGGGGGGGGGGGGGGGGGGGGGGGGGGGGGAGGTGTACTCATAGTCATGCCGTAGCCGCAAGACCATTGACCTCGCACCCCTACCAAGCCGGGACGGAGCACGCCACGATCTAGGCAGCTCTCACATCATCAAGCGCGAAGCGCCGTGAGGTCTTCAGCGAGTCGCATGAAGCGGGGGGGGGGGGGGGGG